ATAAAGTTGTGTTTACCAACACTCCAAATACTCAATTTGCTCAAATGCCCCAGCCCTTTAGTACAACGTTTGCCTCTGCCTAGAAACGAAGTGCTTTTCTTCAGCTCATTCAGCTGCTAGTTCTGGGAAAAGCCCAAAGAGAAACATTTAGATTGGAGGGGTCTTTGAGAAGATGTGACAGTTGACTGATGAGCGTCCATAAAATGACAAAGAATGGCTGTGTGGAGAATGTGCATCACATCGACTCACCCTGGGAAAACTAATTGCTTTGAATTGTTAATAGTAACATTATTTTTCTGGCAATCATTTCTTTTGAATACTCAAAATGAGCATGAAACAGCCCCTTTGACTGGACATAAAAGTTAAATGTCCCAATGTTGATCAAATTAACTTCAGCTATGTGACAATGGACTATATTTGTGAGAAAATAATAGAGGTCACAAAGGGTGGGGGTCTGTATGCCAAGATTTCACACTTGTAATGTAAAAAAAAATGTTTCTCTTCAACCAGACCAAGCTACGTTTCAGAGAGAAAACAGAGGAGCACTGTCATGTTCAGAAGGGGTGGGGTGGAGTGAGGAAACATGGTCTGGATAAATTTAGGGTGTTTCAGAGACTGGCACAGCATCAACTGCCTCCTTCTAAGCTCTTTTTAGCCTGTTACTACATTGTTTGGCACATTTTTACAACCGATCCTTCAGTTCCTCCTTTAGTAATGTACTGCATGTCTTAACACTGATGTGATTCAAAGTTGTCAGAAGTAATAAGGATAACATTTACTTTAAAAAAGATCAGCTGTGTTTGCCTGTTTTAGTATCTATAGAAAACACTACATTTTTAATGGCACTTTCAAGACTAGTAGATTTTTTTTATATCAAGCGTTCGTTAATTTCTTCAGCATGGGATTTCGTAGACTTACCGACAAGAAGGACTTCCCTTTCCCAAGCAATACATTTACATATCTCCCATATTTTGTTAGCCCCTTATAATGTTAGAACACAGCCATGGAATGTAACATAATCAGCTTTGCAGTTCTTGTTATAACGCTTTAAAACTGCTCTCAAATTGGTAAACCTAAAAAAACCACCACCTCTGCTTCAAGAAAGTACTATATGTGTCCATGTATTAGTAATAAACAACAAAGCAATTTCACACTGGCTTTGATATTTTGAACATGGGACACATTAGCTCCACTTCCTCTTGCAGCAATTCTCAGTCTGTTGATTATCACTCTTCTCTTTTTAAAAAAAATATTTTAAGAATATATAACCCCTCCCCCATATTAGACCACTAACACCTCTTTCAGTACTATACAATATACAATTGCTTGGGGGAATTTTTGTGTGTGGCTGAACCTCTTTTGATCACATTTAAATTCATCCTTCTGTAAAAAAGCTAATTTGGATTCATTTTTTTTGTAAATAATTAAGACAGAATGCAGTCTACAAGCGGTTACTTCAATCTTGCATAAATAGCCATAATTAACTGGTGTTCACATTGGCCAAGATACATCCAGTAGACAGAACTGTTTCACTTACTCCCACAGCGACTTAAATCAACTGTGAAAAGATGTTTCAGTTTCATTCAGTGAGGGGTTTAGCTCATTAAACTCTTTCCCTTCTCAGTATTGTTCCCGAAGCTTGAACGGCATTGCTGTTAAATGCTCTTTAGGAGTTTAAAGGCTTTAGAGGAAAAGACTTATCAGCCTCTGGTTTTAACAGCACTAAATCTGCATTATTAGGGCATGCAGATAAGGGGATTTAAAAGCCCAGTTTGAAACCTCTCTCTTCTGTGTTTATCTGGCACTGTATCGCCCCTCTAGCTCAGCTGGAAATGTCGATCTATGAAGCTTTAAAGGGAGATTAAAAGGCAAGAAAAGAAGTACTTTCTTTCCTATAGATGCTCTCACTTTTCCCTTTCCTACTGTCTGACAGAGTGATGGCAGACAATGGTCCAAGATGGTTCCCAAAACCTTCTGAATGGGGGCACTGTTGGTGGTAGCATTCATTCAAAGTGAGCTTCAGTGTATTGTCCTCCCCAATCAGCAGATCAGAATAGAGTTTGCTGGTGGCTGCCAAAAGGTTAGCAGGGCTGATGAAAGGAGTTTCCCATTATTCACTGCTCTTACAGAACTCCCCTTTTGTGCCGCACAGCCCATCATTTCGCTACGGAGGTCCGGATCTGCGGCTGGCTGCTTTCTCAAAATGAGTAATCTCTGTGAATTGTAACCCACAGTAGTAAGTGCCACCTCAAATTGAGGGTTTTCTTTTTCCACAAAAGCGAGGGAGCTGGGCCTGATTCTGGCACTGTCAGCCTGCAAATGATATACCACCACGACATCACTGACCTACAATTAATGCTATTGGAACTGGACAATTTCCTCACTCTTGCCAAGGCATTTGTCCAGAAGGCCCCCCCTCCACCCCTTTCTCAACAAAACAAACAGCAAATCTTAAATAATACACAAGTGTTTTATAGGTCTCTCACATAACATCAAGAGTGGGAAATCGGCAATCATGGAATGATTCTTTCTCTCTTGAAAGACATTAACAAATGCACAGTCATAAAGTCATATGAGCAGATCATTCAAAAACATACAAATATGTTATTCAACAGAGTGGACTGAGGGGAATTCATGGTCCACTACTAGACTAATGGGCAATTTCTAGTAGACCACCTGGTGCTTGCTGGTTGCTAGGATCTTTAAAAAGAATGCTGGCCCAAGTGGACCTTCATAGCATCCAGCATAGGGCTTCTTGTGTTCTTAAGCAATTGACCCGTTTGATCAATTAACGTGGATTAGATACGCTTGAACTATTAAGAGATCCTAAGTGTTCTTGCTTTAAAAAATTTGCAAATACTGGTAAACTACAAGGAGTGATAACTTATAGGGATTCAAGAAGAAAGGGGAAAAGACTATGTAAATCTGAGTGAAAAAATAACTTACTGAATCATTAATTTTAGAGTTGGCTGGCTGGCTCAGAGTACCTGGCTGTGAAGAGGGAGGTCAGGAGTCTTGATGCCCCAATGTATCTCCTGGGAGAACAGGCAGCCTGTATTGCTTTGAGCAAACTACAAAATCCCAGAGTATACCCAGAAAAAGGGAAAGATAAACCAATTTTGGGTCATCTATATCTAGAACATTCTGGCTGAAATCCAGCAGCAAGTCACATCTAGAGAAGGCCATCAGTGGGGATTTAGTGAGTCAACATCTGTAAGTTCTACTGATTCAATGGGCCTACTCTACTTACTATTGGAAAGGGTCACTGTAAATTGCAATCGACAGTACATTATATAATAATTCTATAGCTGACATCATGATTGAGGCATGGGGCAAACTCCTCAGTCAGCAAGGAAAGGAGAAGCTTAGATACATCAGCTAAGATAGTACAATGTTCATATACCAGAAGATCCAAACAAACTAGCCAAGTCTATAGGCCAATACTGAAAATCCAACTTTGTGCTCTAGAACAGGGGTCCCCAAACTTTTTCACCCCGTGGACCGGCCGGGGAAGGTGGGGCACCCCCATGCTCATGCACATGCGCAAATGAGAGAGCGTACACATGTGCAAACAGCTACATGACACTTGTGTGGGTGCACATGCACTCGTGCACACGTGCAAGCGGCAGTGTGCTCATGTGCAAACAGTGGCACGCCGCTTGTGCAGCTTGTGCTTGCTCATGCGCATGTGCAAATGGCAGTGTGGCGCTTGCACAGGTGTGCTGGAGCACACGTGCATGTGCAAATCAGCTGTGCAGAGTGAGTGCGTGCAGGGGGTGGGGTGGGAGGTCTGTCTCCACGGCCTGGTCTGGTTCAGGCCACAGACTGGCACCGGGCCACAGACTGGGGATTGGGGACCTCTGCTCTAGAACATGGGTAGGCAACTGTGGTCCTTCAGATGTTCTTTGGCTGCAATTCCCATCAGGTTTAGCAAGCATAGCAAGTGGTGGATCATGGAAACTGCAGTTCAAAAACACCTGGAGCCCACCCATTCTAGAAACTTAGCAACAACATATTTCAATTAAAGCAAGGAAAAATGAGTGTGAAAAAGCAGAGAAGACAAAGTAGGGGGGGGGGAACTGCGGAAAGTATCTAGGATATTACAGGATGGTGATGTAAATCTGCAATGATTGGCTTCACAGTCTTTCTAACGCATAGGAATTTCAAGGAGACTATACAGTATTTTGAATCCATCTATTACTCTCTCAGCTACAGGAGACCTACTAAATCATTGAGATGTACACAAGTGCTGACTTCCCATTCAGCTACGGATTCAATAGCTGAAATCAAGCAATAACTTGCAACTAGAGTAGGACCACTGAATCAGTAAACTTGTTTAGGTGTTGACTCACCAAATCCCCACTAATTTAGTGGGCCTACTTTAGCTGTGACTTAACTGGATTTCAGCCGATAGATTTACTTCAGTTGGAATAAGCAACTGAATCTAGGCCTTCATAGACTACAGGAACAATGGAGATGTGCTGTTTATGGTTAGTTGTGCTTTCTTTTTTAGCCAACAACTGACTGCAGACCAGAGGTTGGGAGTACCCGCTGCGCATCCCGGAAGAGCCAGCTGATGTGACCTTGGATAAGTTGCATAGCTCCAGGATGCCCTCAGAAGGGAATGGTAAACCACTGCTGAGTACTCTCTACCTGGAAAACCCTGAAAAGAGTTGCCATAAATCAGAATAGACTCGACGGCATACAATTTTTTATTTCATCAATGGGACAGCTTATATGTTAAGTGAGTTTCTGGAAATACTGGAAGATATCTTCACACACTTTCCTTATACATAGAGCTGGATCTCTAAAATTTCTACCATTTGAAATACAGCTTCCTATCTTTTAGAAAGGAAGATGTTAATTCATTATTTTTACTCGTAGTCCCTGGAGACTGGTCATGCGACATAAAAAAGCTGCAATGATAATACACATTTCATACTAGGAATGCAATGCAAAAGGGAGGGCAATAAACAAAGCTAAGACAGCAGACTACCTACCTGTCAAGTACATAACCAAGGGCTTTATGCCTTATTCCTGAGTAAACCGATGGGCTTGTTTCCCAAGCAACTAAATTGGAAGCATCATGGAAAAGATGAATGTTTACCAAGTCAAAGGCACTGCGACAAAGGGAAGAAAAGACCAACTCAGAATACAAGAAATGACAAATAATGCAGAGGAAAGCATACTGTCTTACTGCACAACTATGTCATCACATATTAGGATACTCTTTAAAAAGCACAGAACACAAGTGGAATTCATGTGTTTCCAGTTATATCATTATACGCTTGTTCTGTACACAAAGCTCCACCAGCATCTCCACTATTATATCCATTTAAAATCCTTCACATTTGATATTACAATGTCACAAATGTTAAACCTTATGCAATGGGAAATGGAACTGGGAAACGCATATAAAAAGTTATCACGTTTATTAAAAGGAAAAAAGAGATTAACTGGGCAAGCCTATACAAGCCTACCTCTGAGCAAAGCACAATGTACTCTAAGATTTAGTTGTTACATTTATATTCTACCTTTCATCCAATGAGTTCAAGGCAATATATGAGGCTGTACCACTACCCATTTATCCTTACAAAAACCATGTGAGGTAGGTCAGCCTAAGAAGCATGGTTAGCTCAAGGTCATCCATTGAGTTTGTGACCTAAGTGGTGATTCGACCTCAAGTGCTAGTCGAATACATTAACGAGTACATGCATGTTGGGCCTCACTAGCTCTCCTAAACTGGCTTACTACTGAGTACACAGGCAGAGTCTTGCTGTACAATTTTCAGAGGTACACTTGTGGGGGTTAATTATTTAGCTTTTTGTGATTAATATTTTTATTATTTTATTTTATTTTGTTATTATTATTTTTGTCTTTATTGTTTATTATTTTTGATTACTTATCTTAATTATTATTAAGTTTGATACTGTTGTTTACATGTTT